GTCACGGTTGAATCCGAGGGAAGAACGGCTTGTTATTTGAAAAATAAAGCAACGTTGTGGAAAGCTCCTTGCTGTCTTTAAAATACTGCTTTATTTAATGCCTGCTGTGTTCTCTTGTCTCGTTGCAAGGTATCCTGTTTGTCTTCTGCATAGGTGGAGAGAAACTGAAAACCCTCTCTTTTTAAACGCCACAAAAAGCTGTAATTACGTTTTACTGTCTGGGTCTCCAGGCTGTTACTCCAGTCAATCATCACATAGTCAATGCTTTATGTTATGACGCTCAGTTGTCATGCATAAGTAATCTTTAATTAGTGGCTAATCATACTGGCTCCCACAGAAAATCCACAGTCTACATTTTCTCCTGTAAGTCTCTGAGTCTCAGCTCCCTGAAAGGCAGGCAGCTGTTCTAGATTGAGTTATACTGCTTATGCTAGCGAAGAGTTGATTATCATTTGTTCTAAGAATCCAGTGCCATGCCATGCAACATGATTTCGTTTTGTAGTAGGCACATGTTAAGTGATACAAAAGAGAACTGGTTTCCAAAGCATCAGCTGGTAGATGTTAGGAAACAGATTACCATCTCCTTCCATGCATCTGATGGTTTGTATCTAGCCACAAACAGTTCTTCAGCTGCAAAAGGCTGTGACTGAGAATTCCAAAGCTGGTAATGTTTGTGGCAATGATATTTAATTTTAGCTTTTGTCTTATCGTGCACGCCCCCAGCTCCCAAATGCACACTTGTAATTCTCTTTAAAACTTGTCTGCTTTGGCTGTGTGTGGATTTGGAACTGGGATACATAGCTGTATGCTTCTGAGGAACTTTTCAATTTGGTCAATGCTACTGTGAAGTTAAATACATAAACAGGGACTCCTTAATATCTTTCATGCAGGAAAAAAAAAATTGCTGTATAAACCTGTGTTACTTGATGGTTTCTTTGTGGTGGTGTTAGTAAAAAAAGAACTGGAAAGGCCTTGAAAACTGTATAATTGTTCCAGATGAGTGGTATTTTCTGAAGACATAGTCAAGAAAAGACAATATACAGGTGTTGTGTTTCAAGCCCTGCAGTATTTGAGGGAAGCAAGGGAGGGAGAGTGCTGAGTGCATCATGAACACCAAGCGTAGAAATTGGGATGTGCAAACTGACATAGCTTTCTGGGTTTTCTTGCTGGATTGTCAGGTTTAGCATATGTTAATTTCTTTCAATCTGTTCTATGAATATTTGATCATTAGTTGAGTTGTGTGCACATTATTTCAAAAACTACTATAGTACATAACAAATTGAAAAATTAAGGAGGGATATTTATGTCAGATAAGGTGAATGAGTGCTACTAAGAGTCAGATGACTGGAGTATAATTCTGCAGTTTTCTAACTGGAAAGGTCTCTTACCTTGACATGGTGCATTTTTTTTTCCTCTAGTTTGCAAGTCATGTGCTATCCGAAGATTTTCCATCCAGCCTGCCCAGCAGAAGAAGATTCCAAACCGGTACTTGGGCCAGCCCAGCCCCTTCACACATCCACACCTTCTCAAACCAGGTTAGATTCAGGCCCTGTATGAGGCAATCGTTGGTATTCTTTCTTGCTTCTGTTTTGCTGAGATGTCTAGGACAGAGTATTGATTTGCTGCGCCATACAGGTGTCTGTGATTTCAGCTGTTTATGATTACCTTCATTAGGCAGTAATTATATTTGGTAGTTCATTTCTTTGTCTGAGATTATACTGATTCCAAAAATAGGCTTCACATGTTAGCTTTTTACCTTTTTCTCTTGGGGTGCTCGGTGTCGCTGACTTCAGTACTGCAGACCTTTTGTGACAGTGGCATCTTGGGAGCCCATCGTCCTGCAAATACAATACAATTTATATTAAGGGAGAGTCCTTTGTGCAAGATGAATTGCTAGAATGCTTCATATCTAATGTTTTGTGGTTCACAAAATAAAGGTGTCATTCAGAAAAGGAGATTAGGGAGGCACTTACTAGAAGTTGGACACCACTTGTCTAAAAAGGATGCCCCCTTCAGAAGAGTATTCAAGCTGTGAGGAAAAGAAGAAAAAGAGACTTGTGGCTATGAAGTTAGAAGGTAGTGATGAAAGAGAAGCTGGGGTTGTGTGGTTTTATAAGATTAATGAAAATGAGCATGTAGGTATCAGATGACCATGATTAAATCTAAAAAAAATTGGAAGTAAAATATATATTCAAGGGTATGTTCAGGAGAACATTCTGGCTCTGTGTTCTTTTTCCATAGATAGCTATACAGAGAGAACAGATGAATATATAACCATGCACTTATGTATTTACCTGTAGAGTAATTCAGGTCAGAAGGGACCTCAGGAAGTTACTAGGTCCACCCTCTGCTCAAAGCTGAGCTAACTTCAATATTAGATCAGGTTCCTCAGGGCACTGATTAACAGCTGACAGTAAATGAGGCTGACACATTAAAAGTACTCACAGCTGAAATACTGGAGATTAATTCTAGCTGCCCATAGTAATTTTCCATTTAATAAAGGAGTAGTGTTTTCCTTAAAATAATACAACATTGTTTTATTGCAATTATTGTTTTAAAACGCAAATGCCTTTAAGGCAAAGAAAATTTCCAGGCCTTGCAGTCAGAAGACAAATGGGATTCCCATGTTCCACTCTACTGCAGCTTCTAATCTTCACTGGACCATTTGTGACTGGAATGCAGTGGAGTATAGGAAATTTGGAGTATAATATTGCAGAAATACGGGGTCAGGCTGCATTAAAACAGTTTCTGTGTTCTCTGTCATTTCTAGGTCTACAGAGTAAAACAAACGTGGAGGCTTTGGTTTTTTTCTTTAAAAAAAAAAAAAACTTTTACACCAAATAGGTGTTGGGAATATATGGTGTTGAAAAGGTGTAAACTTTAATGCAAATACAACATACATGATTTTCATAGACTCTTTTTTGTCAAGGAAAAACATTCTGGATAGAATTTCCCCCTCCCACCCCACCCATGCAAGAATCCCTTAAAGTACAAGTTAAATTTCAGTTTTTGTTCTAGAATTGTCACTGCATAATATATTAAAGAGGAAGACAAGGTTATGACAGTAGAAAGTTAACAGTATGAAAATGCAATCTATGTTAAAATGGAGTATTAGCCGAAGTACTGATTAAGGCTCATGTATTAATTTAAATCATAGTTAAGGAGTCTCACATTTTTAAAAATACATACTTAAGCTGTTGTTGGTTGTTCTTTCAACTTCAGTCTGGTTTTGGTATCTTGATCACTGTACTTCGTATCCTTCATAAATGGAGCAGTTTAAAACATACTTTCATCTAAGAGATCATTTGTTTAGTTAGAGTCATTAGGAATATAGTATTTAATGTTGGAAAAATCCAAATTGTTAATAATTGAGAAAAGCTGCATCTGCCCTGGAGAAGATTCCTTCTCTTAATTGGAGTCTGCTGCCAGGCTGCAGTTCATGGTTTCCTTCTGCCTGGAATCTTGTGACTGGTTAAACTCTGCAACCTCTGTGTTTCTGCCTGATCTCCCAGTATCTGTAACACCCAGTCCGCCCCTTACGGTTTAGAACTAGCTACTTTATGAGTTGACTTAGTGTGTATTTGAATAGACATTCTAGCTTTATCTGAGGAAATCAATGCTCAGCCTCAGGAGGTAATCTTCTGTTCAATGTCCAGATGCTATAAAAGCCATCAGTTTTCAGCAGTCAAAGTCCAGTTTGCTTTGCCCCTTCCCCTTTTTTTATATGTCTTTCTGAAAACACTCATCTGTTTTGGATGTTTGTCTAAATTTTTGTGGTTTCTAAGGTTTTGTGATTTCTGCTTTTGCACAGAAATACATAAGAGAAAATCTGATTTGTTAAAATAAATTTCTGTCTTTGCATGATGGAGGAGCAGACTGAGTGAGGATGTGCTGTAGGGATGGATGCTGAAGAGATGCATGATGGAGCAATGGAAGGGCTAACGAGGGACCACAGTGAAGCCATGCTTATGAAAAGCATCAAGGAGTAGGCAGGAATCAGGCATGTGACTAGTAAAATATCACAAGTACCTTGAATTTCTCGATCTGATTTGTTTTGTATTCGTAGGAGAGGTAACCCCAGGGTTGTCACAGGTGGAATATGCTCTTCGCCGACACAAACTGATGGCATTGATCCAGAAAGAAGCCCATGGCTGGGATGGATTGGACCACACAGTGATTCTGCTATCCAACCCCACGTACTACATGAGCAATGACATCCCCTACATTTTCCACCAGGACACTAACTTCCTGTACCTCTGTGGGTTCCAGGAGCCTGACAGCATCCTGGTGCTGCAGAGCATTCCTGGCAAAGCACTGCCCTCCCACAAATCCATACTATTTGTACCCCGGAGAGATCCAAGCCGAGAGCTGTGGGATGGGCCCAGATCAGGCACGGATGGGGCAATTGCTCTCACAGGAGTAGATGAAGCTTACACCCTCGAGGAGTTCAGACACTTGGTGGCCAAGCTGAAAGGTAACAAAAAACGGAGGGAGAATGAGATGAGATGTGGTTTGCAGGGTCTGAATGGTATGGGTTTAGGAAGGTGGTCGGTGACACCAATTCAGGACTATCATGAACTTGGGGAGGTGCAGGGGGAATGACGGTATGACAAAGGCAGTTGGAGGTTCTTGTTAGCTTCTTGAGGGTCACCAATGGAAATGTAGTTTTGAAAAGAATAGTTTTTCCTCCCCTCTGCATTTCTTGTGTATCCATCTGAATGCCAGTGTGCACATCTGTCAAACGTAAGGAACACAATAAGCAAGAGAGCACCACAAACCATGTTACTGTTTTAGTCATATCTTTTTGCTGACAGAGCCAGAACTGGATGAAGTATAGGAAGCTTGAAGGTATTTTATTCATAATAGACTTGGAAAATGATCCACACAGGGAGGTTGTTAGTCCACTCACCTTTTTTAGCTAGATGTTGACTTATTCTTGAAATACGAACATTGCTGTCCTTTAGATGTGTTCTTCTGCATCTAACATCACCATGTAGCCTCAATACTTATAATCCAGCGTTAACTTAAATGCATTATAAAATGAAGCTGAAGGCTTATGACAGTATAAAAAGGGCAAGTGCTTGGGGAATTACACAAATAAATAGACTGAATTCTGGAGTCTTAAAATACCATCTCGGATTCTAGTTATTTTGTTTCAAAAAAGGGTATATTGGAAATAGAAAAGTCACGGAAAGGGCAACAAGGATGATCAAAAGTATGGGGGTGTGTGTGAGAGACACGCTGGACAAACCTGCTCAGTTTGAAAAAGAGAAAACAGAAGGTAAGATATGAGAGATGTGTATGGTTATGGAAAGCATTGGTTGCTATTTTTCATAGTTTACAAATAAAGGCAACACTGAATGAAATGACCTTTGAAGTTGTAGATCATTCATGGAAGGTTTGGAACGTCCAAAATATAAATTGATACAAAAGTTCTTGGCTCCGTGGGGGAGAGGTCCATGAAAAGCAATTAATCACTGTTATGAAGTCCACTTCACTGTTATGAAGAGTGCTTGAAATGAAGAAACCAGAAGAGGGGAGGATGTGCTAACTCTTTCATAAATGCCCAGTCTCTTAGAGACATTTTGAAAAGACCTGCTAATGGCTACTGTCACCAAAGAAGGAGGGCCTAGGTGGAGATTAACTGTGACTCGGCATGACTTTTCTACTCATTCCCAGTTCCTGCGGGGAGAATGTGGGTTCCAAATAAATTTCCACATAGGTAAATAGGTTTGCCCTCAGTAAGTTCATCTTCTCTGAATGGCTGAAATTAGCAGTTGTTCCCCAAAGATATTCTGAAGCGTAGTTGATACTGACCCTGGTTCCATGCGATGGGTAAAAGGTAAGTTGCCTTACAGCATCAGGGGGGACAGGCTAAATGAGACAACGATTCAGAACACGCACCACTGCAGTGCAACGGCTACTTAGCTCACACAAGTGTTAAACCCAATATTTGCATAGGAGTGGGGATTTGTCAAATCTACATGCTATGAATTGGTAATCTTCCAGATTTTGAAGAGCTTGCTAGTATCCTGTGACAGTGAAAGTGTCTATATGGTCTGTAAATGCAGATTCAGAGGAAATTAATTTCTCAAATATAGCAACAGGTCTAGTTTAGGAGTGAGTTTGTTCAGTATGGGGAGGACACTTCTACATTTATTTTCGTCTGTCAGCTTTTGTTTTGTATTCCAGGTGAGTCAAACATTGTTTGGTACGACTTGACGAAACCGGTGCATACAGAGCTGCACTCTGACTACATGCTGCCCCTGGCTGAGATAAAAGCTCGGAACAAAAACCACATCCAGGGCATCCGACATCTAGTGCAAAACCTTCGGCTGATCAAATCTCCTGCAGAGATTGAAAGGATGAAGATAGCTGGACGGGTGACAGCAGAGGTACGGAGTCCAGTGCTCTCCAAATGAACCAGTGCATTCCTTTAAAGAAGAAAGGGAAGAGGGCTGTTGATGGGGTGACATGGGTTGGGAGGATAGCTTTGGTCTACTCTGTTACTGAACTGCTGTGTCTCAACCATCAGCTGGGCTCAGCTCCCTCCACATGACAAGGAGAAACAAGGAGACTGCTTGGACTGCCAGCTTCTCTCAATTAGTGTAACTCCAGTGAAGACAAGCCAGCAGTTGTTAGACTTTGTTTAAGAGCAATATCTATTCAGGAACAGGGGTAGCCTCTTCACTCTTCCCAGCTTCCCTTCTTCCCCATGCCATTTTCTTTCCCGTTTATCCTGTTGATTTTGAGGAAACAGGATTTTTGTGAACACATTGCCTGTGTGTGTCTCCGTATTCCCCCTTCTCCCTCAAATACCTTTTGAACTCATTGGCCAATTTTAAACAAATCTGACAGATACCTCAATTGCAATTATGGTTTTGTAAGTATTATTAAAATAGATGGCCAAATACAAAAGAGGGGCATAGCTTGTCCTTCTCTGAAGCTGCATAAGGCACTCCTATTACGTATGAAGGAATTCATAGGTGAGACAACTCCTAAAATGTCAACCATGGGATCAGCTTCAATCATTTAATCCTTTTTCAAAAACTGAAGTCAATCAGCCCCTAAATGCAGTTTCATGGGGAACAGAGCTTAATTGGTTCTAGTCTTGACAGCACTCTGCACTTTCAGCTGCCTCTGGTTCCTGTGTTTTGGGCCAGCTGATTTTAGGCCTTCCTCAAAAGACAGCACGTAAAAAAGAAAGAACTTCCCTCAAGTTCAGGCTCCTTTGCTAACTGAAAGGCCCTTCTTTTTCATAGGCTTTCACAGAGACAATGTTTGCCAGCAAATCACCAGTGGATGAAGCCTTTCTGTATGCAAAGGTGAGTACTTCGTGGTTGGAGCTGAGATAGAAGGGATGGATGTTGTTTATCCTTCCAGGAGATTAGAAATGTGAGATGTCGCTATAATGTGCCTCCCACTGTAGCACATTTCTCTTTCACCCAACTTCTGCGGTTCCTAGGATGTGCAGAAAAGTCAGTGCGAGGAATTCTTCAGCTGTACTTCCCATACTCTTATTGAAGGTTGTCTAAGTTTATCTGCTATTGATGTCTTTTTCTACTGTATTTAAATACAAAACCTGCTAAACAATCAGAGATATAGTTATTATCTTATTCTATAATACAGTTCTATTGTACAGAATTTAAGTAGTTACAACACCTCTTTGGAAAGCCTGCTTGTCTTGGCTCTAGCCTCTTACTACATCAGATTACCACAGCTATCTTGAAGCAGTGTAGATGCCTCTCAGTTACAAAATAAGGACTAATTGGCCTAGGCATTTGGTAAGGAATTTTGTAAGGAGTTGCAGTGAGATGCCTATTTGAGAAACATCGGCAGGATTTGACCCTCTGTTATGACATAGTTGGGCCTGTGCTGACATGACACTGAGCAGCAGTACTACCTCATAAAGAAAATTATTTTAATTAAAGTGTATTTTACAGATCAATTTTTCACTACAGATCAGGATCATAAACCTACTTTACTACATGTAGGCATCCTGGAGTATTCTGTCCCATGTGGTTTTGGTGATTATAGAAAAGACGTTATTAATATATTGAGGATATAGAGGGTCTCTCTAGGTGTAAGTTTATTTATTTCCATGCTTTCATAAGCTTCATCACTCAAGAAAGGTAAAGGTCTTGAGGCTTACAGTGCCTTCTCCCACACACCTTGGACATCAAGGTAGTGCCTGCTTTTGAGCCTTCTTAGTTCAACAGTCATGAACATAGATACTGCTGTAAATATGCTGGTACTTTGTCATTTTAAAAGACAACAACAAAACATGACTGTTGTCATGCTGACATTTAGGATCTTTGAAAATTCACAAAGTCGTATGGCAACTAAGAGCATTATTTTGTATAAGAACAAATCCTCACCTGGATTTATGACAACATAATGAATGTTTGATACAGTATTGAACAGCTTGCACCAGAAAGAGCTTCCGTGAGACCAGATGCAGGCTTAAAGTACTCTCTTGAAAAGTGGATAGTTCTGTATTTGTTTTCTCCAGTGTTCTTGGAAAACCTTCAAGGGTGCTTTCATTTAGTGAAAACTAAATGAAACACTTTCCAGTTTCACTTTGTGTTGTACAAATAAAGAAAACAGTTGTAGGACATGAATTATAATAGCCCCAGGGCAGTTAATCACCTGAATCAGCACTAATGGTCTCCTCCTCTCTGAATTGGTATTGCAGTTTGAATTTGAGTGCCGGGCTCGTGGTGCTGACATCTTGGCGTACCCCCCTGTTGTTGCTGGTGGCAACAGATCAAACACTTTGCACTATGTGAAGAACAATCAGCTCATCAAGGTAAACCATATGCTGTCCAGTAACTTAAAATTGCAGTGCTGTGGCACACTGTCCCCATGTGTCCCCTAGCTGCTCTTTGTTTTGACTGAACAGATCAAAACACTTAAGTGTATACTTTCAGGTGAGCAGGGGAAAGGAATCCTGCCCTGGTTAGTTTTACTGTCGGTGACTGATTAACTTCACTCCGTGTAGTCTCTTTCTCTCCTCTTTGCACTTGGTGCAGTATTTTCTAAACAGTGGAAGGACTTGCAAACAAGTTTGCAAACAACTTCATTTAGTGAGCATGTCTGCTCCCGCACCATGTGCAGCAGCGTGCAGTGCTGTGTGGGTTGCTAACCTCACAAAAGAGAGGGACCACTGCAGCAGGTAAAGTGAAGGCACTGTAGGGGGTCTTCTGCTGTCACTTGCGTTGCTTGGCTTTGCTTTGCAACATAAGGTGCAATAGTGCGTTCCTGCTCTGGCGAAGCTGAAAAGCGTTTTGGACTCCATGTAGGCCAGCAAAGCAGGGAAGGGGAACAAGGAGGGAAAGGATCAGCGTTAAATGTTCAGAGGTGGATTAGATGGCTGTAGGTAAAGGAACATACCTTGTCTTATTTTGAAGATTCACATTATTGAGTTGAACCCTCTCCAGCTTTCCCGACAATACACCTTTAGATTCAGATAAGTATTTTCAGGAGCAATATTCCCCCACTGATCTACTCACAATTCACTTTTCAGAGGAGTGTATTTTTCCTCTGTCTTAATGCAGAATGAAATTTTCCCACTAGCATTGTCTTTTCTTGAAGCTGGCATGCTAGCAGACCTTGAAACAATCTGCAGAGACAGACATACAAAAGATATGACAGGCTGCTTTTGGCAGAAAGAAGCCTCCTTTGTTGTACTGTCATCCAAGGTCAGGTGTGCTCATGTAACTCCAGTTGCTTCTGTTAAAGTTGTTCAGTTAAATGACTGTCACTTGTTTTTTTCAAAACTGTTAAGTAGGAGGTTAAACCCATAAACTTGACTCTTTCTTTTCCTTTGTGTGTTACTTCCTACAGATCTTGTTGCCAAATAGGCTAACAAAGTTGCTGGCTGGGGCTAAACCATGACAATGACATAAGGCACTTACTGGACAATCAAACCATAGGGTGAATTCCCTTAGCCAATAAATTGTTACTTAGCTTGTTTAATTGCTTGGAAGAAGGCAGGTGCTATAATTTCATACTTTACTTAAAGAATTGAACGAGCTATTCTGAAAAACTTAAAAATACAATTTAAATGGACTTACTGTGTAAGTGTTTGTGGCACTTAACTGTACACAGTGATAGTGATAGTAGCTAGCACTGGAAGTAGTGCTAGCAGTGAAATTCTGCTTCTTATTTTTTGCCCTCAACATGCTAGAATTATTCCTTGTCATTCCACATCGTGGCTGCTGGCACAGTCATGGATCTACGGACTGAATCTCTGTAAAAGGCCTTGGATTACATATAGTGTAAATCCATAGAGAATTTCATCCAAACTTTTTACAAATCTCACTGCTCTATTTGTTGTTAGCCCCTTTAGGGAGGGAAAGCAAGGCAGTGATTTTGTTCCTGGCCCTTTGTCTTTTTTGCATGGCTTTTTGGAAGATGTGCAGTCAGTGATTTAATTGATACAGAAACAGTTTTGCTGAAGTGAATTGGAGGTTCACATCTCCAAAAGTTTTTTCTTCATCACCAGATAGATTCAGAAGTATATCTTAGAGCAGTCAAGAAAGTCCTTGAAGAGAACAGAGAAGATAGTATGAGCTATTCAATAGTACATTTACGGTAGTGACACACTGTCAGAGAATTGACTTTGCTGGGTCCTCCTACCTTGTGACAAGGCTAAATCTTTAGCTGTTAGTGATCTTGTGGGTAGCTCAAAAATCTATGTTTTTATTGCAAAATCCTTCTGTCTCAGTCACTAGCAGAGAACTTCTAGTGAAAGGAGGCAGTGGTGTAATTTGCTGGAGTAGGTGATCCAGGTCTGAATGCGACTGATGTCTCAGAGCGCAGAATAGTTCAAGGAAAACATCTTTTTTTACTCCAAAGTGTTTGAAAATCAGTGTGTTAAGAGTTCAGGCTGTTGATAAGCATAACAGTCAGAGACCACCTTGCAGAGAAACAATCCAACTGGTATAGCCTATTTATAAACAGTAGCACCTGGGGTGTTGTTCTGCAAAATGAATTCACATCTCCACAGCTGCTTTGCAAAGATAAATACATAATCTCCTTTCCTGCTCTCAGACAGAAAAATGAATTCAGTTAATAGCTGGACTGACCCACAGGGCATTTTTTCCTGTTATTCTCCAGGATGGTGAGCTGGTCTTGCTAGATGGTGGATGTGAGTCTTCCTGCTATGTAAGTGACATCACACGTACCTGGCCTGTCAATGGAAGGTATGCTGCAATAAGGCTGTTTTGAATAACTTTGAGAAGCTCTTAAATAATTGATGGATTGAGTGTATGTGTGTTTAATCTGTGTGAGTAGTTTTAACATGTCCCATTCTGTGGTTCTTCAGAGTAATCAAATTAAATAAAGTAATCTTTCAGTATGAGAAGCTGTATTCCCCACTGCCTCATTAATTACTGCATGAATATGTGTGATTACTGCTATTTTCAGCTATTACAGCATGCTTAAAGTGCAGAGAGGGCTTCTGGGCATTCAGCTGTGGCTTACTCTGGTTGTGTGTAAGAAAACAGGAGTTTAGCTGATCCGTACATGGCTCTGTCAGTTGTTGAATATGCTGGTGTGGTGTCCCTGTGGTTGTGTGTTTGATTCCTGTATGTTTTGGCTCAAGTGCATTCTTTTTCCTGCAGTGGCTTTGCCTTGCTTTGGGGTTAGGTTGTCAGCTGAGAAACCCTGCATCTGCCCAGTGTATTGAAGGGCATGTTGCAGCGATGCCTTGTCTGGCATTTCATATAAGGAGCTTTCCTTTCTGACTTTCCCTGCTCCAACACTGAACTGAATCTGCCCCCAAAATAGGTTCTGGATAGAGGTTTATCTGTGAGAAATGTCCTTTGTTCCTTTTCTGAATGGTTTTCAGGTTCACCAAACCCCAAGCAGAACTATACCAGGCTGTCCTGGATATCCAGAAGTCCTGCCTGAGCCTCTGCTCCCCAGGCGTGAGTCTAGAAAATATCTACAGCCTCATGCTGAGCCTTATTGGACAGAAACTGAAAGAGTTGGGGGTCCTAAAGAGCAGCATCACTGAGAGCCACTTCTTCAAGGTACTTAGTTTTTTTACTGCAGCTTCCCCCCACTAAGCCTGACTGTTTTCTCCCTGGGTTATGTTAGTGGCTTTACTTTGGCTCAGGAATGTGCTTTTGAGATTAATCTTCTACTTGTCCCCACTCACTATGCTTTAATTCATGTTGTGGGCTGGTCTCTGCACAGGACTGGATTTCTCTCAGACAAGGCTGAACTTGAAGATGTGTTTCAACCATTCAGCACACAATTTGGTCTGAAGTAACCCCCCAGTCTTACATGCACATAGCGTGAATATATGTTCCCCAGCACCTGCTATTTCACCCTGTAGATCCATTCACTTTGGTCTGCACTACTTGTTAGTGTAGATGCAGCTTTAGAGTACAGACAGCCTGAAGGGATCTATAGAGACATTGGCACTAACACAAAATTCTGGGTCCAGGGCTGGTTGCAGGCAATTAGTCATAGTTTTGTGATCTGTTTGAAACATAGCATAAATCTGCAGTGCCACCAAAAGACCATTTTCTCAGTTATTCCACCTGCTGCCTCTTCTGCACCATTTTGTGTCAGTATTGGGATTCACAGAGCTACCTGCAGAACAAGCCTAGGAAATTGGTCTGCCTTCAAGCTGAACCTGCAGATAAAATAGGATTGGTTTGCAGTTAGAGAAGTTTGTCCGGTCCCACTCACTGCAGACCTGCATGACTGCTGATGCCAACACAAGAAAGACAGTGGAACGAGGTGGCGGAACTACCCCTTTGGCAGCAGGACAGATTTCTGCCAGATTTAATTGTCCTGCAGTGTCAGTGCAATAACAGGACAAGTTCTCGCCTGTGAATGGAGGCTATCATGACGGTTTCTCTCGGCAGGCGGCAGCACAGCCAGATGAGACCAGCATCTGTCTGCGGCTTGCTCCCCAGTGAATGTGAGGAGCGTGGGGTAGAGGAGGAATTAGCTCTTTGATTCCTGCTGTCAAGGAGCTCCCCTCTGGAGGGAGGGGTATTAGGATGGTGTGGGGGCAGGTGGTGTCAGTGCCCTGTAAAGGTGGACTAAAATCCTGCTGTAGCTGCTGAGTGAAATCAGCACAGCATTCACTCTGTCATGCATAGGAGACCTCTTTGCCACATCATGTAGCAGCTGTATCAGCTGCTGCTGGTTGTCAGGGTCTGCTGATGGGAGCAACGCAGGGCTTGGGTGTTTAAGGGTTGGAAAGGGTTGGGGCAGCAAAGTTCAGTAAGCCAAAAACTGAAGTCTTGCCTGACATGCTGAGGTGGTGATGGGCTTGGGCTGTTCTTTTCAGTGAGGGGGGAAAGGCAGTCTGCATGCTCATAATAGGCAGCTGGTACTGGTGGATTTTGAGGGCCATCCAGTTCTCGTAAGTGGAAGACAGCCCCTGGTGACCTAGTCATGGCAGTAAGATTGCTAGTTAAGCACATAAATACTCTGTCTCTTCTCCCCATCATTTATATTGGAACAAGAGGTTGGGCTCTGTTTAACTGCCTCCATGACACTTGTTTTGTCTTCTGCTAGGCTGTTCGAAAGTACTGCCCACATCATGTGGGCCATTACTTGGGCATGGATGTTCATGATACTCCAGATATATCCCGATCGCTCCCGCTCCAGCCAGGCATGGTGATAACCATTGAACCAGGTAAAAAGATATGCAGTCAGTGGTGGACAAAGACATGCAACACTGAGGATAATAGTATTGCTTTCAGTAGTTAGTTGGTCCCTCAGACCAAAGCATTCAGGTCCTTTCTGGTGAAATTGAAGATTATTACAGTATTGGAAAACCTTAAGTTATTCCCCTTCCAAAGTCATTACAGTATTAGAAAACCTTATTTCCCTCCCAAACACAGCCAAGGTAACAAATTGTGGGAGTAAACTCTCAGACTGTGATCGAGTGCAGTGCAGAGAAGCAGGGTCAATTCACTTGCGCTGTGTTCTGTGTTACTGTGACTAAACTACTACCAGTCACTGGTAGCATAAGTCTCAAGCATTGCCGTCTGCAATTACAGGCATTCGCAACTTAGCTTTGCAAATTAGGCATTTCATGATGAATCTTTCTTTCTGCTTGTCACTGGATTTGGACCTTTTAGCTGGAAACTGATATTTAATGCTTGTGTCCTCTCTCTCTCTCTCTATTCAGAACATTGTTAAAATCATCATTGTGAACATAGCATTGAGAGCAAGAAGTGCGGAAAGGCCAGCTGTAATTGTGGAAGTTTTTATTAACATGCTAGTGTCTGTAGGCACTGAGGAACACTTTCCTTTTGCCCACCAACTGCCATGAGTAAGGGGAAAGAGGGTAGCTTTCCTTATTAAAAATTTTCAGGATCAAACTCATGTTTTGTTGCTGAAAATCCAACCCTGCTCTCATGGTGGTGCAGTAAGGGAAAGGTGTTGTTATGGAGGGTGTTGTGTGTTTTAATTCCCTTCCTTCTTTCAGGCATTTATATCCCTGAGGATGACATGAGTGCCCCGGAGAGGTTTCGTGGCATTGGTGTGCGCATCGAGGATGACGTCGTGATCACAGAGGATGCCCCTCTCATCTTGTCTGCTGACTGTCCCAAGGAGATCTACCACATCGAGCAGATCTGTGGCCGCAGCTCATGATGCCCCTTCTCTGCCTCTTTCATCCTCCTCAAGAGATGCAGCCCTCCAGGGATGCAGATCCCTGTAGCTGGCTGCAGTTGTCGTGATGGAGGGCGTGGACAGTTGATGGCTGTTTCCAAGACTGGGGCTGGGAAGTGGAATGCAAAAGGCTTGGGTATTGAGGGATGAAAAAGCAAAGCAACCTTTTCTGTGTGCATTTTCCTTCTGATTTGAGTAGTGCTGATGTTGAGCTGTTGTAGGACATGGGGGTGGATTCTCCTCTCTGCTTTGTGGATCCATCTGTTCTGGTGGCCTTGGAGGGGTGAATTTCGTCAGTGCCACCAGCAGGCCTTCTGCCTGGTCCCTCTCCAGATGCATAGGTGCAACTGCTGAGACCAGGGGCCCATTTTTTTCCACTTTAGCAGTAGTTTCACAACAGTCAGATATTAAAAATGAAGCTTTGATAAATGCTGTTTTGGGGGAATAAAGTGTGTCAGACAGCTTTGATTTTTATAGAGCCCTGGAAGGAGGGGTTTTGGTAGTCAGGAAGATGGGTTTGGTTGGGAGGCAGTTTTACCTGAAGCCTGTGGAGAATGCTTTTAGTATTTTAAGGATAAGGACGTGTTTGGGCCTTGTTCAAGCATATACAAAATAGGCCAACAGCAGGAAAAAACATCTCATCTGGTCTTTCAGCTTATTGGAATGTTTGGTAATTTCAGAAAGGACAGATAGGGCTTAGGAGGTTGGACATACCCATTCTTGCTGTCTTCCACATTCCCTTCTTTTTGTCCCAAATGTCCATTCCAGTCTCCTGTTCTGAGCCCATCTCTATCCTGGGAAGCAGGGCCATGTTGGCTGTGCTGGACTCCACTGGTGAGCTGCTGGTTGTCACCTGGATATGAGGTGTCTGATTCTGGGACAGTCACAACACCTTTCTGGTTTATGCTGTAAGTGCCAGCAACTTCAGCAGTATATTTTTGAAGAGTCTGCCCTGTGGTGAGTCTTAAGTCTTTATGTGGCTTTTATACAGAATTCAAAGTAATGCTTTTCAAAAATTCTGAGGGCAAGATCACAGCTGCCTTTTGGGTTTTGCCAAGTGCAGTCAGTAACCAGTGCTGTGTGATAATATTTTTGAGGCAGCTGCAAATGTGATTAAGGGCTAGGATGGATAAGGGTAAAGAGAAGAGTTGTCTTCACTTGACATCAGCCTACCGCCCAGGCCATTGTGTGCAGTAGTAAATACACTTACTAGAGGCAAACATGGTGTCTGTGTATTTACTGAAAATATTTTGACAGTCAGCTATTTACAATGTCTGAAAAATGCCTCTCATCAGTGCATCTCCTTTTATTTATGCTTGCTGTTGCATTGCATCATCTTACTTCCTTTCTGATGGTAGCTTTCAGTATTTTTCATCTGTTATTCTCAATTTTCTTTCTTTTTCTCTTTTCCTGTATTGTCTATTTCTGACCCACTATAATGTCACTGCTTCCTAATCCATTTTGCTTTCTAATCAATGTCACTGTCTCTTCCCCAGTTTGCCCTAATTCCCCACAGTGAATGTAGTCAGAAGCATGTGGGGAAGGTAGCCGGGGTTCCTGAGTTCGACCTCTGTTTCTGTTGCTGTGTGACCTCTAGCGAAATCTGCTCTTTTTTTCTCTCTTTCTTCTTTTCTGTGTTTCATTTCACTTAGTGAAGGCCGAATGGACAGAGTCTTGCATCTCTCACTGCTTTTAATGGGAGCTGGGTGCATGCACTGGGGTTTGAATTTGGCACTTGAAAGGCAGCCAAGATGTGCTGTAATTTTATTTTTTCAATGTGATGAAAAGTAAATGCATTTACAGAATTTAGTGTATCAAGTTTCACCTAGTTAAGAGGATCTGCTAATCTTTGATGGAAGCCTTTGTTAGATGCTCATGCGTTACGGTGATACGTGCAGTGTAATTTGTTAGAAGGAAGGCTTGTTAACTGTGGACACAGAACTAATGAGTACTTTTGATGTTTTTCTGATCTGTAACATGTTGTTCCAATTACACCTGTTAGAGCCATGTCAACTGAGACAAATCTTGGATTTTGGAACTATGTAAGCAGCTTAAAATAACATTAACCTGAGAGCTACATGTGTGTGCTAATCTGCACATCTGCTCGTGTACCTCACAGTTAATAATTGTACTTACTGTAAATAAGCCTTTGAAATACATATAAAAAGTTATTTTTAAAATAAAACAATTTGTAGAAAGTAACTTCTTGGGCCATCAAGTTGCATGGCTGTTGAATAGATATAAGCACTTCCAGAAAGAGCATTATTTTTCAGGGAGATTTATAAATTACCTGTAACATAACATTGTCAAATGCAGGCACATACTAATTCCTACTCCTCTCAGGAAGATCCTGCAACTTGCAAACACCAACAGATTTTAGGAATGTTGTGGGTGAATGTTTCTGTCAGTAAAGAAGTGTGTGTGACTGCTGAGCGGACAGTAATGGATCCGCTAGGGCTGCTGTGCTCCACCATGCTAAGTGTGTCTGATTTAGGCTGCGCGTTGTTCCGTGTTCTGTAATTCTTCCACAGTGTTCAGCCATTTCTTCAGAATAAACTGCTGCTAATGGTTTGAAGCTGTTGCTCCATGTAAAGAAGAGTGCATTTTGCAGAATGTATTAAATTTGAGTCTTATCAACCTAAATTTTTGAAGGCTTTTTCTCACTTGTTGCAGAGGCGGATAATCAGAGTATCATCTGGGACCTACACACATGCTGCAGTGTCCCTTGAATACAACCAAATCCATGAACATTTTCCATGGCCTTCATCGAGGAACTAGTCTAAAGAATCCCTTCTCCAGCTACACATACCTGTGGCGTACCTCCCGGGTCGCCAACCCCATGCTGCCAGATTTACGGTCTGTCTCTGCCCCAGAAGAGATTCCTCGCTCCAACCACTTGGGTGCAGGAGCAGCTCTCCGTGGCAGCACATGAGCTGCTGGATGAGGGCGTTGGTGGGATCACTGGAAGCGAAAGAGAAACAGAGGTACATGCAAGTTCACCTGGGGAGAGATTTTATTGCAACTGTGGCACAGGTCTTGAGGGCACCAGAGTACGAGAGAAAATGAGAGCCAGCCATCCCTATGGAGAAGCTGCTTTGCTTTCAGAGGAAGCCCGGGAGGCTTTTCTTGAGTTTCCCATTTCACCTTCTACCAGGGGCCTGCTTCGCCTTGCAGAGAACTAGTCAGTAGTAAAATCCTGTTGTTAAAGTGCAGTCTGACCAGAGGTGCTAATTTGCAGATATGCTTCTGTCATCAAAGTGGAAAGAAATTTGGCATTTAACACAATTTGGCATTCTAGCTGTTATCTGTGAAAAATACAGTCTATCTTTCCTAAAATTGCATTCATTATTTTGCAAAGGAACCTGGTAGTGTAGGAAGAAGCAGACTGAGGAAGCACATAAAAGAGAATGGAGATGGAGGGGTTTGGGAATGTACAGTGCAATAGAGAAGATTCAGGAAGAGGGTGTGATTTGGAGCTGTGGGGATGTGTGCAAGTGGAAATGAGAGCAAGGAGAGAACAACAGGGTATAAAACCGCTATTCAGGATGTTGTCAGGGTGGTGCAATAGCTCCAGGAAACTGGTTATGCTAATCAGGAGACCCTGATTGATTTGCCCTACTTGGGAGGGGGGAACAAAGGAGTCAGATTGTATTGATGAACTTGGTCTTAACAGTTTTTAATTATTTCTTTTAAAAATCAATAGAATTATCATATGAGAAAGTTTTCTGCAGTTTCCTGTTATCGAACATGTGTCATATTTTAAATAATGTGAAGGGGGAAAAGTACATTTCAAGGCAAAATCTTCATCATGATGGAGGGAGCAAGGCTGAGGTTACATGCTCTTATGCTGCCCAAGTTGCTGCTACGGAAATTTAGTAATTACTCCCAGGAGAATTACCATAAAGCAAAAAGAGTTGGGGTTAAACTTAGGAAAAAAAAAAAAAATCTGTATGAGATAAATGACAAACATGCTTTAATTATGATGAGATGCTTAATGCTTTGTGTAATTGGATAATGAAACTCTGCACTGCAATAAATTGACATTTTTTGATTTCTTTTAAACTGAGTTGTCTAGAAGCCTATATAGGCATCTCTTCATTAGTATGCAGACCTAAACTGCATTTAAGTTTATAATTTTCTGAGATCATTACAGCATCTCTGTTACATGTGCTCCCTACATGCATGGTCAGCCTCTACTTGATTAAAAATCATCATTTGGACACTTTCAAAACAGTGGCTCTAGGAGTGGGTCTGACTTATAAAATTCATTATATTTCAGAGGTGTAACAATAAGTTACATTTTAAAGCAGAATTTATAGTCAAATTGGATGGTGAGACACGGTGGGCTCAATGGTGCTCAGTTTCTCCCCTCAGCTCCTTTCACCTTCTTGGAGTTTGTCGTGCTGTCTTAACTGGCTGCCAGCTCTGAGCCTTCCTCGCTAGCAGCAAGCGGAGCAATGAACTCCTGTCTGCTGGGACAAGTTATGCCTCAGCCCACCTGGTTGTTTCTCTGAAGCACCACCTGATATTTGGCTAACCAAAACCAGACTCTTCAGAAGATGGGCAGAAAGGAACAAGGAAGAACTTCCAGGTCCTCCATGTGTGTTACCTTCTCTTGCTGACTCATACCACATACGCCTTTTTAACTACCATGACAGAGTTATCCATTAACAATGGCAAAGAAAAAAGAATTCCTGTCTGGGTAAACCTTACGACCAGATCTTTGAACGAAGAAAAAGTAAACGAGAAAGCTGGTTGTAGACCTAGGAGTGAGAATGGCTACTGTAGGGTTCAAAATGTTCCTTTCCCCTTGGATGTTAGGGGAGCAAGTAGCACTGCAGGAGCGATGTGCAATCTTGGTTTGGGACCTTCTTGCAAATGCTGTTCTCAGTCATGCTGTGATGGGCCAGAACTGACAGTGGTTGAAGATCTCTGTGGGTTTTCTCCTCTCAAGACCATGAAGAGCCTGTGGCTTTTCAAAGGAATCTCTTTTTTTCATCATTTGGGCAGGAATATCATGGCAGCAGAGGCTGGGAACACTCAGCCTGTGGTTCAGTCATCAACTGGAAGTTGGCAGTCCAGCAAAAACTGGTTGAAAAGCAGTTCTTCCCAGGGAAATAGGCTCACTGAGTTTTTTTGTCAGTAAACATGAACAATATGAACAATATTGTGTACAGAGGAGAGAGGCTTATCTTCTTTTTATTCCTAGGAGGAGCAAAGCTTCTGCCTCTATGTCCACTTTTGAGAGATTAA